AACAAATAAAGATCATTCTAAATAAATATATAATATAAATAAATTCCCATTATGAATCAAATAACTAAAGTAAAGCCCGCTGCTGCTAAAAACTGATCTCTCTAGTCTAATCTTATAGGATCCCATTGGAGTGCTCCAAATACCCATTTTAAGTGATAATCGCGCCTATAAAAACAAATTAAACTTCCATTTTGATGTCTCGTTCAGGGACTTTGCCAGGACATGCCAGACAACTCCTTGAGCCCCATTTGCCTGGCGTGAGCTACTGTGTGGCTCTGTGGCTCTGCTGTGGCGTGTGGGTTGAGTGGAGCGAACTTCCGCTTCGGCTAAATGAAGTTAGCTTGTTGCGACTTATGCAAAAGTTTTCAATTGCCTTTTATTATTGTTGTTTTCCTTTTATTTTATTGCTGCTGCTGCTGACTCGACTCGCGCTGAAGTGAAATGCAAATTTATTCAAAATGTGAAGCAGCCAGAAGTTCGCACCGCTGTCAGAAAGTTGTCTGGATTAAGGTCTATGGCCATAATTAAATACACACTTTTTCCCATTTATATTTGCATTCCACTGAATAATTGCCTTTAATTTCGCTGCTAATTTGCCTTGTCTTTAAGTCAAACACATTCGAAAGTTTTAACCTCAAATTAAAGAGAAGAGCGGCGCCAGAAATTAACTGGAGTTGATGATATATGTATATAGATAAAATTTACTATAAGTATAAAATTAAGATAAAATGAATTAAAGAAAATATAAACCAAAATAATAAATCCAAGTCTGCTGCGAAAAAAAAAAATGGATTTCTTAATATATTTATATTTGAAATGTCAACATTTGTTGCTTCACAGTTGTAAAATTTCTTTCTTTTTAAGCGAAATTTCATGTTGAACTTAAATTAAAAGTAAGAAGTAAGGAATACCATGGGTGATGTGCGTCCGTTGCAATACGATATCAAATGGGACACGTGGAATGACATGCCCATCACAGACATTCACTTCAAGCAAGTAGAGTCTAGTTGACCAGTTGAATACACTAACCAACAGGGCTACTAACAGGAATTATGAGCTCGCCATTGAGTTCATGTGGGAGAATTCGTTTCTGCAGAGCATCGTATACGAGGGCCTGGGTCTGCACGATCTGAAGGAGATGAAGCCCATCTATCACGAGTATTGTATGCATATCTTGCGTAATGAATGCTCGGTTATGATGCTCGACGAAACGGAAACGAAGATTCTGGCAGTGGCTCTGCTCGAATGGATGACCGACGCGTGGCATTCCTGGTACATAAATAGAGAAGAGAGATATATAGAGAGAGAGAGAGAGATAAGGGTGGGGTTTTATATATATACCTAACTAATTGATCATTTTACAGGGTGTTTCTGCCCGCCTTCGTGGAGAGAGGACTCTTTCAGCGTCTGATTGAACTAAAGGAGGACCTAATGGCCGCCACCAAGAAGAGCCTACAGCTGGAGAGCTTTGATAGCCTGATGGTGCATGAGATTGGCTTCCCAGCCGACTTGTATGAGGATCAAGATTTCCAGATGTGCATCTATGATGTGTTTGGCATGGTCGCTCAGCACATGCACATGCCGCGTGTCTGCTTCATCGCCCTCACCACCAAGGATCAGTATACCGCCGAGTTGGCTGACTATATGGAAATCGGCAGATCCATCTATTCCATTTATAAGGTCGACAATAATCGGCCATTCGACTGTCTGCGTGACCTCGACGAGATGTATGCTCTGCTCTATATGTTGCCTCTGACTCCGATTCGCCATTACCTGGAGTGGCCTGGCTTCGAGGCCTTCCACGAAGCGCTCCTGGCTCAAGAGCGAAGGGAAAGGGAGGAAGAGCTAATGAGACAAAATGAGGCGTGATACAATTTCCAGCACTCGAGATCGTCAATATAGTCTTTCACTGGTCATATTTTACATAACAATTATATTTATAATAAATTATTAATATTATTACT